GAGACTCAGTCCATGGTGAAAATCCAGATCCCGCCTTCGCATCCTTGTCATCAATTGATGCACCGTATCCAGACCTCCATCGTGCCAATGATAATAGCATACCTAGTGCATCCCAGTCCGAATCTCCATCCTGGGACAGCGGGTCTGGAGCCCAGGCCAATCCTCCTGAAGTGGCAGTATTGCCTGCCAGTCCAACTGCATCAATCCAGCAAGCCTCCAATGCCAGCCGGAAGCCTGCGTCAGCGAAACGCAAAGGCACTCAAAGCCGCATTCCTATCGAGGCAAAACAGATTCTCGAGGATGAGTTCGCTACCAATGCATATCCCTGCTCCTGGGAAATGGACATTATTGCCCACCAGGCCAACCTTGACGTCAAAAAAGTCCGCAATTGGTTCAACAATACACGGGCAAGAAAGAAATGTGAAGGTGCGTAGTATTCACACATGTTATATCAAATATGCTTACATAGATAGACCCGCAACCTGCTGCACAGAATGGTACATCTAGTGGACATTCATTCAACCCAAGACTTTCAAGAGATAGTCTGGAAAGCTTGGATAAGCAAGCAGACAGTGCGCTGTCACCACCACAGCCACCGTTGGCCATGTACCTTGCTCAGTCCTATCAAGAAGAAGGTTTGGCGCTATCCGCAGTAGAATCGGCAATCTATGAGCACTCGGTCAGTGGGAGCGGCCAAGACGACACGTGGTCGGGGTCGAAACAAGGCCGTAGAGGTTCTGTCATCACCTCAATTGCCTCCTCCGAAGGCACTGCACCAACTACCTATACAGTATCATCTAGTGGTAGTCGCAGTAATATCTCATCTTTCGGTCGAGACCGGAGGCGCGGCCGGCGCCGCATGGCATGGAAGGAATCTCCTCGCCAAGCTATCAACGGCGTCAACAGTGCGGGCGAGCCACAGAAAGATCTACCCTTTTTCTGCACCTTTTGTCCCCGAGCGTTCAAGACAAAATACGAGTGGGTCCGTCACGAAGACTCCGTACATGCACTTCGCACCACCTGGATATGCTGTGACACAAAACCAGCCGCAGTCCTTGAAGTGTGCCCTTTTTGTGGTCAAGTCTGTCCTGACGATGCACACCTGGCTGGACACAGGTATCAGCAATGTCGGAGCAAGCCCGAATCACAACGCACCTTTTATCGCCGCGATCACTTCATTCAGCATCTACATCATGTACACTTTGGAAATAGCAAGCATCCATCAGTGCGGGTCGGCTGCCAAGCGCGACTACTAGCCGCTGAGGGCCACAACTTTGGCTGCAAAGATCTTACAATGAAATGGCGTCGCTTCGGTGCTCCGATGAAGATTGATGACCCCATGCTTCACTGTGGGTTCTGCGGCAAGAAGTCAAAAGACTGGTCTGAGAGATGCGAGCATGTTGCTGAGCATCTTATCGCGCGTGAAGTAGATCGTGGTGTCTGGTGGACTGAACGCAAGGAGAATCACTTGGAGAATCTTTACTCGGCATCGCCTTATGAGTCGTTCCGTTGTCGGTACTGCCAAAAAGTGTTTACAGACGTCAAGGAAATGATCGAGCACTCGCATTGCCGTGTCTGGAGCTGTCGATTTCTACGAAGTTTTGACGATGTCGCTGCTGACACTCCAAGCCCTCCTCTAGGAACGGAATTCCCATCAGCAAAGGGCCACCATTGTCATTTATGCGGCGCAGGATACCGTGCCTTCCACATGGAGCATGCACAGCACCAACATCGTTACCGATCATGCAACCAAGAGTTCTACACATCCGAAGAATCTTTTCTCCAGCACCTCCACAACTTCCACGGCGCATCTCAGCCCGCGCTCCTCCGCGGCAACGGCGTCATAGAGCAAAGCTTCATGCGCAACAAAGGCGGCTCCTTCGAGCCCGTCGAGTTCAACGAGAGCTGGCAGCCCTGCGTCATGGACCTCGATGTTGCATCCGTTAGCCCCTTCGTAGCAGACAATACGCGCTCGCCCCCACCGAAGAAAACGCAAACACAATGCAAGAAGGCGCTGTCTGTGTCTAAGAAACCCCGTGAAGCAGTGCAGGCCACGCAAAAGACACACAGACAGTGCGCAGCTAGTGCGGCATCGAAAGCCGAGAGCAATGGACCTCGTTTTTTCAGGCTGGATACCCACGTCCCGTTTCTTTGTTCGCGTGTTTTTTACTCAAGACAGGCTAAGGCGTCGGGTTTGACGAAGGATAGTAAGACGTCGCTGGAGGAAATACTCAGACCGCATGTTGCGGCGTTGGTGATGAGCGCGGCGCTGGTTGGTATGGCGCCTGCGCGTTTGCCCATTCGTCCTGAGCGCGATATAGCGAGTGGGATGGTGGAACTGCGTCTTGATGGCGAGGTGAAAGCGGAGTAGGGAACTTGTATTTGTATGTTATTTGTGGGATTGGCACATGGGATTTTGCAAGGTAGGAAAACTAAAAAGGGGGGATTGTGGTGAGATATGTGTCGTTATTCATTTAAGTGTCATTAATGATATTCTTTCCCGCCATATCATTCCTCCACTTTCTGCCACTGATATTCCAGCTCAGCTGTACTTCCCCCTCCCTTCCCTCCTCCCCTACAAACTCTCAAGAACCCGCACATCGCTCATAGAATCAAAGGGTATCACACTCGTCTTAGTATCACTCCTCAATGCCCACTGCAACGTCTTTTCCAGAATCCGACGTCCCGTATGTTCAAGCTGTAACCTATATCACACAAAAGAACATTAGCCTTCTCATTCTCTTCTTCCTCAATCCGAGAAAAACATGAGAAATCACTGAAATAGGGGATAAGACATACCAATGACCCGCCCCCTTAACAACAACAACCTGACTTCCCCTAACCAAAAACTCCCTCGCACCATCCAGCGCAAGCCGCTGATCAAATGCCAAATCCCTCTGTCCCAACATGAGCGTCGCAGGCGCTTTCAGCGCACCCTTAGGTGCCGTGTTCGCCAGCGTACCCGCATTCGAACTCGAGGAATGCATGGGGTTCGAAGCGATGTTGTATAGCGCCGCTGTCGTTTCCAGGCTCTTCTCCCAAGACCCGAAAAATAGATCTTCACGGTATATCCTGATTTTCTCTGACATGCCGCGGTCTGTGAGGCGGGCGTGCAGGGAAGGCGGGTAGGAAGTTCCCTCGGAGGTTTTGGTACGGAGTTGTTGTGAGTTGGGACCGGTGGAAGTAGCCATTGCTTCTGCGACTTCGAGGGGGTCCATTGGGGTGGATGTTATGGGTTTTGAGCTGTGTTTGGCGGGTTTGGAGGAGGGTTGGTGGGGCTTGCCGAGTGTGTGGAGGAGACGGAGGAACCAGTAGTTTCCAAAAGTAGCGAACCCGGTACTGAAAGGGCGGGGGAGGTGGAAGATGAAGATGTAGAAGGAGTGTTTGAATTGACTGGCGATAGGGCGGAGGGCGTTGAGGCCGTTCTTGAGGAGGCGTGTGTTGCGCGGTGAGGAAACCCAGGTGTGTAGCATTTGTTTTGCGAGCTGGATTCGGTGGTGGACGTTGGAGGCTTGATGTCCGGGTATCAGGCCGCCGGTTATGATCCAGTGGTCTGCTAGGACGTGGGCTTCTGCTGCGAGACGGGCGCCGATGATGGAACCCCAGTCGTGTGTTACGGCTACGGTTTTGCTGCCGTCTTGTAGATACTGTTCTCGTATGCTAATCATGAATTCGCTGATTGCTTCGAGCATGTCGTTTGCTCCGTATGTGGGAAGGGTGTCTGAGCCACCGTAGCCGAGGAGATCGACGGCAACGAGAATGGTGTCTTGTTGTAGCGAGGGGGATTGGAGGAGGTGTCGCCATATGATGTAGGAATCGGGGAAACCTGAGTGTATGTATCCTTAGCTTCTCTTCTTCCGTCTCTTTACAGAAGATATCCAGAGGTCTCTTCAAATACAATCCACATACCATGTATAAAAATCGCGAGATTCTTAACTTTCTCTGATGACTGATCCCCCTCATGTACAACATAATGTATCCTCACTCCCTTGCTCGTGTCAAAAAATTTATGTTTGAACCCCGGCAGCGGCTCGCGATCCAAACTCCAGAATCGCTCCTGTGCAGCAGCCAATTCGCGCTTCTCGGCAGCGCTGTCTCTTGCCCACAGCGCCCCATTCTTGAATACCGCTACCGTATAGATTTGCGCCAGACTTGCCAGTCCAAACGTAAACTTGAACCCGCTCCATGCCAGATTTCCCAGCTGCTCCGACATTTTTCACTCTGACTGCGCAGAAATCCCGGAATCGAGGGGGTGCTCGTGAGCTATAGGTTTCGTCGTCGCAAGATCAAGAAAAGCGAAGAGGGGGGGGGTATCTATGCCAAATCGCCAGCAGCAGCAGTAGTAGTAGTAGTAGTAGGGTATACGCTCGTCTCTCATTCGGCAAGTAAAAAGTATTCGTAAAAGGGCGAAACAAAGAAAGAGCGAAGGGGGAGAGGAAAAAAGAGAAAGAGCACTCGTCCATCAAAACACACAACCCATCGTGTGCCCCTCCCCCACAATCCCCAGCCGCAGCACCCAACCAAACCAACCAACCAACCCAACCCTATCTAACCCACCCCCCTTTCTCATACGCAGATCAAAATAGGAAATCAGGGTAAAAGAGCAGCGATCCAGCTAATCTGGAACAGTAGCTCCCTTTTTTCCAACGATGATCTTACTGTTCTGTTTTGTCTCCCACGTTCGCTCTGTCGTCACAGAGTCACGAGTCACACCCCCACCCGCGATACCAGCGCATCTCAGGGCCCAATGAGTGGGAGAGGCGTTTAGTTTTCGCGTTTGGTTGTTAGCGTGCAATATAATGATTGTCTAGGGATGGGGTATGACGATGGTGGCCATAGCTTTTTGATTGGGGGTATGGATCTGTAGATCTTGTCTTATGTAGTATTTTGTGCAATTGGGGGTAAGGTTGTGCTGTGGATAAAGATGTTTTGCCGCGGTAATTGGGCAGATTGGGAAGGTGGCTTTGAAGGGCTGCTTGAGGGGTGAGTGTGGCACGTGATATACGCTGTTGGAGGGTGTTTCTCGTTGAGGGTATGGCAAAGCGTATCTGTGGTATGAATGAATACAAAGTTGGCAATTTCACCGTAATGACTACAGGTAAAGCCGTGTGTATTCATGTGAAATAAATCCAACACGTATGTACATACGCATTTAGAGTTCCAGTCTGGCTGTGGCAGCCAACCACAATACGCCTTCATTCCCTCATCGTGACATCGCAATGTCGGGTATCATAAATTCTCGCCCCCCAGTCTTTCCCCAGAGTCTCACAACCAAACAAGCGCATCTATCCCCTGCAATCCCCCAACTCATTGTTTCTTCCCCTTAACTCTCTCCATAACCCTCAACTCAGCACTCCGCTGTAACCTTAAGTCCTCCAACTCTCTCTCTACTGCCTTATTCTTCTCCACAACCTCTTTCCTCTTCTCCATGCGCTCCTTGACCTCTTCCATCTTACTCCTCACCACATCTTCCACTACCCTCTCCAGCTGCCCCGCATCCTCGATACCGTGTTCCCGTATGAATCGATCTGCAAACTCCTGGATCGTATGCGGCGAGGGTCCTGGCCCGCCGGTATGATATCCGTTCTTATGGGTGAGATATAGACCGGGTATTGCAGAGTTGTGAGTGCGGAGATGCGAGGAGAGCGGTATGGGTAGTTGTGATGCGGAGATTGTAGGGATGTCTTGGGAGGGTTTCCGTGGTGAGGGAGCGGATGGTGGATTGAGAATGACATCCATGAGGCTGTTTTCGAAGGTTTCGTCGTAGCGCACGGTCGAAGGAGAGAAGTCGACCATTGGTGAAGTGAGTTCGGGTTCGTCGCGTGGTGTGAGCGGCGCGTTGCTCATTATTGTATCTTCGTTACTCATGATGTATGCACTTTCTGGTTCGCAGTGGGTTCGCGACACGTGAATTCTGGTGGGATACGTTATGCGACCAGTCGGGTATGGTGGAAGTGGTGGGAATGATGATGAGCGCAGTTGCGATGGAGACGTTGAAGTATCATGACTAAGCCTTGACTTCCTGCACGCGCCTCCGCAGTTACTACGACTTCGATTTCCTACCAACCAAGAACTTCACAATCCAACTTTTCGAACATCGCTATATCGTAATCATGGCCGATAAACTCCGCGCACAGCAACAGCTCGAAGCGCTCCAAGCGCGGTATATTGGTATCGGCAGTGCAGACACTACGAAACACGAATGGACGTCCAACATTGCGCGCGACTCGCTGTCGAGCTACGTCGGACATCCGCCTCTTCTGCAGTACATGAGCATCGGACTGGGGCAACCACGCGAGAAGACGAGACTACAATTGTTGGAAAGAATGGTTAGGCCTGTTGGGCCGCCGCCCGAGGTGAGTAGAGCATGAGAAAGGGATTTGCTCAAGTGCAAATGCTAACAGGGGCACAGCAACAAGACTGAGGCCGGATTGTATTCAGATGCAATGTGAAGAAATCTATCAAAAGCATTTCACTACGCAAAGAAAAGGGCAAAGGCTGCTCTTAGTACCGACACGACGGATACATGCAAGGATGGTAGTCATATGGCAACGTAGAGCCCATGAGCCGGCTACGTGGTGCTTGTTTGAACGGCTCTTAGCTGATTCTATAGACATGCTTAAATCCATAGCAAACGCCGGGAGCTGGTGATGATGGTGGTGATGGTGAGAGGCATGCAGACACCTCGACTCGAATGAAGATAGCCCGGCTACCTTCGTTAGCGGAGGCCAAATGATAGTTCATAGCCCATGTTTTGTCGTGATGTTGTTGCCTCAATCGCTCTCACTTCCACTGCCTGCATGGCCGTCATCGTCATCCTCGACGATGTCTCCAACAGCCTGGATGGCAAACTCGCCCTTTTGCAGCATGCTCTTCAGCTCCGTGTTCCGTGGGTCAACCAGCTCGACGGGCTTGAGCTTCGCCTTATTCCGTATTCTGGGATCGCATCCTGCGTCTAGGAGCATGGCGACGATGGATTGACCGTGGGGCCAGACGTCTTTTTCGAGCGAGTTGACGTAGCGTACGGCTTTGTGAAGGGGCGTATCCTGTTCCATGCGGTCGATTTCGTCAATCTCGAGGCCTTCTTGGTCGAGCAGCATGTCGATGACCTCGACTGCAGCGGCATTAGCGGGTGGGTGTCCCGAGAGGCAGCCTGGCCGGAGGATTGGCGGTACTCACAACTTCCGTAGGTGGCAGCAATGTGAAGGCAGCCGTTGCCGAGTCCATCGCGCGCGTTGTTCAGTACGTCTGCGACATAGTCGGCAGGCTTCTTGTCCGACTTTTTGGCAGCCGCATTCAGGTCGGCCAGTGTTTCCTCGAGGAGCTCAGTGTTGTTGCGTCGGCAGGCTTCCAGAACAAGTTCTCGAGGAGAGGCTCCCTGTAGGCAAGTTTTAGCAGTGATTCTGTTGGGAGTTTTGGGGCGACGGCCATGTACATACGTCGTGGTGGTCAGCCATGGTGAAGGAATCCCGTGGATGCTTGCAGTGACTGGACAAGGGCGGGTGGCTGACAGGTCGGGCACAGCACACAGCACACGGCACACGCGCGAATGTTTCGTCGACTTGTTTGGCGGGGTATTTCGGAAGTGCTAACGGAAACAAGGTGACAGGCCCCAGGGCGGTGAAGAGGGCGATGCTGTTGTTCACGGCGGCGCCCAAAAGGCTGCGATAAGACGTCGAGGCAGTAGTCAGTGAATTAGTGACATTGCCTGTCCTCTCCCCGGATCCAGTTGCATAAGCTCGCAATCTGAGACAGCCCGACACTCTCCCAAGCCCAAGTCCGCGCCGCCGCCGCCCACCACTGCCACCACCGCACAAGGCTATGGCTGATGGCTCGCCCCGCACTTTCCCTGTTTCGGCCTTAGTGCCCTAGGGTCCCGCCATAATCTTTCGAGCAAACGCATGCATCGACTCTACGTATGCCTACATATATGTCCATGTACATGTAACAGCCACAACCACACGGCCCACCATGCTGCTCTGTAAGTTGTCGCGCACGACCCCGCCTACTGGCTCTGCAGCCACAGCTAATAAAAAATTCCTCTAGTCTGCCCAACATGCAGCAACATGCTGCGCGTCTCTGCTGTCCCGCCCGGTGACCCTACCACCGAGGACTTTGTCGGCCAGAACCGCTTCGAGTGCCTCACCTGCCCCTACCACTTTGTCATCAACAAGCGCTACTACGAACGCAAGTATATGAAGAAGAAGGAAGTCGAAGATATCCTGGGAGGAAAGGGCGCGTGGGATAATGTCGACAAGACCGAAGGTATGTGGTCTACAACTTAGCCTGGAATGACCCATGTCTAACACCAGGAACAGTGCAATGTCCAAACGAAAAGTGCAGAAACCACGAGGCCTACTGGTACCAACTGCAGATTCGCAGTGCCGACGAGCCCATGACGGCTTTCTATAAGGTGGGTTGTGCTTGCACCGAGGTAGGAAGGAACCTCTTGCTAAATTTTCAAACAGTGTACCCAATGCGCCAAAGAGTGGCGAGAGTAGACTGTTGCCATTTCCAGCACACATGCATACGTTTGAGGAGTTTAGGAGCAGTCAATGTTTTGGTATACCCCGTTTGAATTTCTATAAGTGCAAAAAAGTACACCATCGTCCTTGCACAGCAGTGATGCAGTCCGATTCGCTGATCTGGCATTTCATTCAAAAGCATCACAAAGTAGCGTAAAGATTTTCAAATTATGGCGCAAGCTCGTCAATAGCCACCTGAATAAAATTGATATATAACTAGCCAAAAAAACTTCTTGAAAAAGAAAAATACGACATCACAGCGTACACTCTCCAAACCTAGCGTACCAGCACCATTCCCATCTCTCATCCTCACTTACGAATTCTTCTTTACCGTCGTCCCCTCTCTACCAATTATTCCAAACATTGGCACAACACTACCACTAATCCCCTGCACCTTGTCCCTTACACCACTGCCACCATCAGCCCCCTTGGGACTTCCCGTTGCAGGCGTATTACTCGGCCACGCCCACAGCGTATCAAAATCAATCTGCTCGTCTAACCCGCTTTCCTCACTATGCAAGCTAGGTACCCGCGTCGCTTCCAGTGCCGAGAAATCCAGCATCGTGGATAGCGAGGGCGCCCCCAAAGTCAGCGATGCAGATGGCGTGGCCATGTTGAGAGACGGCGGTCTGTGGATCGGGGATAGATGAACTGAGAATTCCGGTTCAGGTGGGTTGAGTGTGTTTTCTCGCGTCTGGCCAGCGACTGAGACAGGGACTGTGGGTTGGACGGGCAGGTGCATGACTTGGGGCTGAGGAGGTGTTTGGACTTGGCCTGGTACTTGCTTGAGGAGCGGTCGGTCATTGAGAGGTGTTGTGTGCAGGCCGGGATAGATGTGTATGGGGACTTGGTGGAGTCGGGGTGTGCCGTCCAGGGAATTTGTTGGCTGGACCAGACCAGTTACGTTTGGGTTCGGCTGCTGCTGTGCTTGTTGCTGCTGTGGTACCTGTGCACCGTACAGCTGTGATGCTATGCTCGGCAGTGTTGAGTTGCTTGTGTGACTGTCTTTCCGCCGTAGACGCTGTTGCGTGACTACGTCTCTGAAGGAGCTGAGAATGTACACAAGTCTGACTGCCTGTTGATCGCTTTCGGCACAGTAATTCATGACGTTGATGGCGTTGACCACACAGTTCTCTGTTGCATCGATTTGGTAGAGACCGGCAAAGTCGCTGGCGAGAATAACAAGTGTAGCTGCGAAAAGGAAGTAAATGACGGCAGGATTACGACGGGACAAGTAGCCCGCTTCAAAAGCGTTTTGGATCAGAAGGATAGTGTGCACAGAGGCAATCACACACGCCTCGCTGAACCGTTCCATACGAACAAAGGGCCGAGGCCCCCTATTTCCTGGGTGCTCTACCTGGCGCTGCGTCTCCTTGTTGAGAATGTACAACAGGAATGGCCGAGTCAGCAGAATGATGGAGTGACAGTAAAACAGATTGACGTGCAGAATAGCTACGCCCTGACTGGGCGATGCGGTGGCAGCCTGTCGCCACTGTAGAATGGGTGTCAATGCCCGTGGCCATTTCTTGCAAATATCAGAAATCTCCTGTGCAAGCCGAGTGCTGATTTTGCGTCTTTGGTAGACCTTGCGTAAGATGATACCAATTACCTTGCAGCTCCGCACAGCAGCCTCCAATGCTGCAGACCCTGTTTCGTTGTAGTCGTACACTGTCTTTGGAGTAAAAGTCCAGGACTGGTTGTAGTCACCATCAGAAGGTTGGAGCGTGTCACCAGAGCAGTCGTCCTCAGATATAGCAGTTGGGCGACCCAAGGAGCATGACAAGAGACGGTCGATGACAAAAATGGATCGCCACAGATCCTTGCGCTGAACTTGCTCTTCCGGGCTGAATATCACCATGGTCTCTTCTCTGTGGAGACCCAGTGCAAGAGCGGATCGCGCTGCCATGCCAAGCAGGGCGAAAGCAGTATTTCGCTTTGTCTTGGCCAACATGTAGACTGACATGAGTAGCAAAGCTTGAACAGACCAAAAGTCCTGATCCTCTAGTCCAGTCATAGGATCGTTAAGGTTCTTAGCGTTCAGATAGAATGCTTCTGCTCGGTCGAGATGCTCGCTCCGCAGCTTGTCGATGATGAGAGCTTCTGGACTACCAGACAGCGGCGTTGCCATTGTCAAACCAATGGCAAACACAAGATAGAGCAAGCATAGCCATGACGAACTCACAGAGAGCGGATCCGAATAGCATTGTTCCAAACTTTTGAAGAAGTGGTCACGGTTAAAGACTTGCAACAAGCCATGGGTATTGATGAAGAAGGCCTCTACCAGAACCCGGGCCGTCTGCTCATCAGGTAGGAGATAGGTGTGCTGGTATCCAAGTGGAAGCGAGTACTGACCCTCTACTATCTTATGTCGGCGAGGATCGGTAGTGAATGGAGAAGGTCCGGCTACCGTCTCAACCATCATCCGAAGGAGCTGGAGGAAAGATAAGGTAGCTGCGTCGCCGATATACAGTACCCGACCAGTAGGGTCCTGTAGCATCCTACTCTGACTCGGAAACTCAGCGACATCGTCTCCACCATCATGCGAAGTGGTGTCCTGTGACACTGTCGGTCGACTGCCGTCACTGCCATGATTCGCTGGCGGTTGAGGTATGGCAGCAGAGTTCGCAGCAGGGGACGGATAAGAAGCCTCCTGATTCGAGCTTACTGCATGGGACACGAGGGGTGGCTGTTGAGGAGCGGTAGATGTCCGTCGGTGCAGGGTCAGTGGTGAGGGCTGTGCCTGTCCATTGGTGGGTGTGTTTGCCGACGAATTACCATTTATGCTATAAGTGAGAGAGACCAGTTAGTATTGAGATGAACTGAATCAAAATATCCACCAAGAGTATCTCTCATGGATCACTTTTGTGTACATGCAAATACCATGCATGCTTGACAACTACTGCCGCCTGATTGAGAGAAAGGTAAGTACATACACGGGGCTTTGGGCGTTGCTAGTAGTTTCAACTACGCGCTTCTTCGCGGGTGGCCTGTCTTCGCTTGGAGAGTTTGGGTCTCGGTCCGTGTATATGCATGTGAATTTGCGCTGACCAATTTTAGCATATTGATGCGTGAATAAGCTGAAGGCTTACCTTGTCACAAGTATTGCAAGGTTGGAGACCGTTACACTTTTGGATGGTTAGCTTTGGTCCTATTGATTGGAGGGCTTGACGGAGCTGCTGTAATAATGGAGGGGCAGGACTAGACTAGGACGTCTAGGTTAGACATGTGCACCAAAAGGGCTACTCTTGCGTGCATGCCCCCGGAGCATTGCACAGGCTAATGACATGTTCCGAGTCTACTCGTACAAATATCCGGCTCCGCTGTGTTTGAGCGTGGCCAAATCAACCCGTTGGGTGATATGCCGTGAGGCGGGTGCACCAAGGTTCTGCGCTGAGGAGTGGCAGCATGCAAGATGAAGCCTCTGTGAAGTAGCCGTCTTGGAGTGTGATGAAAGTGCACAACTCGCCTTTTGTTTTCTGCGCTTGCAGCTCTCACATGCCTGTGCAGTGCGCTGCCGCTGATCTACACAATACCGTGTTAGCACCGCTACGGCAGCCACACCGACACACGCGAAACGGACCTGGTGGAACCTTTGGGCGCGTCATCCTGTAAAGGCTATGTACGTATGCGCCTCGGCTGGGGTCGGTGGTTCGTCACGTGCAGCGGCGTTGAGTGCTCAATGCTGATGGGGACATTGCCGACGCGACGGAACGATGAAGTGTGATCGGAAGATGCACTCGCTCGAGGTGAGAACGGTAAGGAGAGCACCCCGGGACTCGCACCCCCACCGCCGAATGCAACGGCGACGCAGAAGGGGCCCCACAGTTTCGAGTCGAGCGACTGGCGCGCGAGCCGGCGATGACGGGACAACAGAGACGGTCCTGCGGATGTTTTATGGATGCAATGCCCATGGGGTCGTCCCTAAGCATTACGCAAAGCTTGGGCCAGCACCTTTCCGGAAGTCGGGTAGCGCAGCACGTCTGCCGATCGTCACAGAAACCGTGTTCCTACATGCTGGGCCAGTCCGCCTTCGGCATCACGCCGTCCACATGCACGCCGTGGTTGGTAGACCATGCTCATAGCCATGGCTTACTAGGACCAGCCTCGATATGCAGCCAGACAGTGCTTTCAACGGCTCTGCCGTTGCCAATCTTGGCATCTCGGTCCGCCCGTCAACGGCTCCCATGGCTTGCTCTTAAGCCGCCACTGCCGTCACTTGGCCTGGCAGAGTACACGTCTGGATACCATCACCATCATCATGGCACCTTTCCTAGGAACAGAACAGGACCAAAGCAACGAGTCCACCCAAGCAAACGCCTTGCTTTTGGGTGCAAGAACAGCCCTGGCCCAACTTCTAACAAAGGCCAAAGACAACCTCCCTCAAGAGTCACTCCAGCATATTACCAATGTCAAGTTCTCCACCGCCAATACGGGCTCTCCGTACTTCCCAAGTCCATTGAAGCAGACTGAAGCAATTTCGGCCCTCAAGGCTGTCGAGGCAGGCGTTGCGTCTACTATAGCTGATCTTCACAATGATCAAAAAGATCGCCACATTGCAGTCGATCTTGAAAGAGCAACAGCTTTTCTCTTCTCCACCTACCTCACCACTGTAGGAGGCCTTGACAAGTCGAATCCCAAAGTGAAAAAGTTACTCAAGGGTAAGCATTGACAATCCAGACGCTCATGTCAGTCACCTGACCAAGACAGACACCGACCTTCTTCAAGCCCAATCTATTCTCTACCGCAGGCTGTCTGCAAATCTCTATGAGACCAAGAGACCAGGAGAGTACTTTCATCTGCATGGCTCCCTCGAGGCAACCAAGGCACTGAACATAGTTGGTCTGGAAGGCTTCCGACCTGACCTGACCGATTACCACGAGTGCATCAAAGTAATTGAGCATCATGTCCAACAATTTACGGTAGAAGAGCTAGAAGAAAAGAATCGGGCGATCAAGCAAGCGGGTGTGACCTGCCTAAAATGGGATGCCTTCCGAACTACTGAACATGGCCAAGCACTGATGCAGGAGCCGCCCTGGAAAGTAGAACCTCTGGAAACCGACACGCCACCAACTCCACTACCCTTCCGATCCTCACATGCACCAAAGCCGCAGATCCTCTCTGGTATCCGTGTTCTTGAGCTTTGCCGAATCATTGCCGGGCCGGCAATGGGCCGTGGTCTTGCCGAGTATGGTGCAGAAGTTATTAAAGTTACATCGCCGAACCTGTCCGATGTGCCTTTCTTCCAGGTGGATGCTAACATTGGAAAACATACAACCGACTTGAACTTGAAGGAGCCCAAGGACCGACAGATTTTTGAAGAGCTTCTACAATCTGTAGATATTGTTCTTGATGGCTATCGGCCTGGCAGCTTGAATCGTCTTGGATATGGACCACAAAAAATGGTCGAGTTGGCGAAGAAGCGTGGCAAGGGCATAGTATACATTGCTGAGAACTGCTTTGGCCACGTTGGACCATGGTCATCACGTCCAGGCTGGCAACAAATTGCAGACTGTGTTACCGGCGTAGCCTGGGCACAAGGTCAAGCAATGGGGCTGAACGAGCCCGTCGTACCGCCGTTCCCCATGAGCGACTACGGCACAGGCTGCATGGGCACCATTGCTGCCCTAGTCGGTCTCTACAGGCGGGCCAAGTTTGGTGGAAGCTACCTCGGTCTCACTTCTCTATGCCAATACGACATATTTCTGCTTCAGCTTGGTCTTTACGACGACCGCACAATGACCGAGCTCAAGAATCAACATGACAAAGAGTTCTTCGAGCTCCGACACTACGATTCAGTTGACGAGGTTGGCAAGCGGGCTCTCAAGACTATGAGGAGAACACACCCAGAGCTGTTTGAGGACCGACATATGCAGGAGTGCTTTAGCAGGGGTTTCAACGCCAATGTCAGGACTATTCGACCCGTAGTCAACATTGAAGGCTACTGGAACGGGTTCCTGCGTAGCTCGCGACCCAATGGTTTCGACAAACCTACATGGGATAATTGGAAGATTGACGAAGATTTGTTACGAGCATAATGTACTTTCCCTTCTTGTATCTAAGCGTTATTTCTGTTTTGTTCCCAGATCAGCCTCCTATTTTCCTGTAAGCATTACTGTACTACATAGTTCCTTCCTGCCAATGCCAAATGACCTTACAAATTCCCTTACATCGCACTGCATTCCCACAATATCTCTCGCCTGAGGCTTCGCCACAAGCTGCATACGTACCTCGCCAAGACGTTATATTACACAGAACCGGCATTAGCCCCACCTCTCACAACGCCCCCACCATCTAGACTTCCACCTCTTGTGTAAGCTGGTGCATCTTCCGACGGGGCAGCTACCAACTACTACAACGCATCTGCATCTACCTTACCTACATACTACTGTACATCCATACATCTATATCGCCATGACACGTGCACACGTGACATCTATACACCCCACACCCCCAAAAAGGTAAAAAAGAAGTCAAAACTCCGTAGTATCCCAATACAGTCTATCAACCCTTCGTACATATCCATCTACGTACACCAGGCACCTTTGTATACCACAACCATGCATCCAGCATTTCCACTCTCCCCCATGTTCGCGCCTCTCTCAACATTACCTCTTCTCCTTACCTACTTAGCCAAAAAAGAATCTTTATTCCCTGCTACTAACCCGAAGTTTATCCAAAGTTTACCCTTCCCACCATCATTATCATACGCACCCAGCAAATCCCCATTCCTTACCCGATACCGATCCCATGCCAGCACGCAAATGCAGGTCCGTTTTGGTTCCATTTTCTTTCTTTCTTTCTTTTTGGGGGGGAAAGGGGGAGAGAGAGAAACGATCGGACCGCGAGAATATCCGGTTAGATTTTCGGGTCCGAGAGGCGAGACGGTTGCGGCGTGGCGCGGAAGAGAACGCGACGCAGTGGGGGTGTGGGTAATCCGCCGTTTATGGCCTGTTTGTCGCATGTTGTACCTACTACCTACGTCTTAACTATATTCTATCGCTACTTTGTTTAAGGAAAAAGTTCGGTTGTTACGCGGCTTTTTTTTCTTCTTCACAGTAAGGGAAGATTTACAAGGGTTGCGGTACAAATGATTAATGGGTCTCATGGATATTTTATTCTAGGAAGGCTAGGTTGAGGGGCTTTGCTGTGTTGGGGAGTTGATATGGAGAAAAATCGGGGATTGAGGAGGTCCTGAATGGTTGGGTTGTTCGGATGGGTGAAGGTAAGCGCTGTGCAGGGGGGGCGGTGTGAGGGTGGCTTGTTTTCTTTTGGGCTGCTGTGAGGTTCCGATGCGTAATATGTGCTGGATGACGGCTTCCGGTGTTTTTTCTTGGCGTTGTTGCAGATGGGCATGGGATGGGGTGGCATGGGGGAAAGTGTAGAGTTTAGATAGGGCTGGGGTTATGTTAGTACTAGTGTTGGTGTGGTATGTAGCTTTTGCTCTTTTAGTGGAGTTCGAAAACGGGCTATTGGGATGTGATGGGCATAAGGGTTAGGGAGCATGTCGCTAGCTTGATTCATGGAGGCGCCATTTTACATGTGCCGCTGTTTTTACGACTTCAGTGCTAGTCGTCAAGGTGCCTTGTAGCGCCGAGTATTGAATAGTAATCGCTAGCAAGAATCTTCCGGTGAACACATGTAGCATTGCTGCATTGCTACTTTCATAATTGGAGCCTCAGACATCAACCCCACTCGGGCAGACAACATGACAGTATAAACGAACCACGTAGCTCTGCATCGTATCTTTTCAGATACATTTGCTTGTCTGAGTCTGTTATCTCTCATCAATATAGATGTATCTCCTTATAGCTTTCACAGCGTTGCTGTAGCATGGGGTATGCGAATATGTTAAGTAGCAGAAAGAGGAGGGGAGGAGATCTGACGGGTGTGATTCGTAGAAATGATCGTTGCACTATTTTCAGTAGTCCTGGCGTATACCGCTAGGACCTGCTGTATGAGCACTGGAGCTCGTTTACATCCTATATCTTATTCGTCGATATTTTGCTCGATAGTATAGGGTTTCGATTGCGGTGGCTATTCTGTACGTCATTTCTTGTCTCAATTTTCGGTCGTGAACTAGTTCCCTGTTATCGTATCCTGCTCGAAATTAAGAGACTGAGATATTTGCCTGCATAGTAAGCGTATCAACGTGCCCAAAAGTAACACTTCTTTTCAATACAGTGTATCTAAATTCCAAAAACAGAGATCTATTCTACTCATGCACCCAAATCATTTCCTCTCATCCCCCTTCATCACGCCTTCTCCTTCTTAAAAACCTCAATCGCCCACTTCCCAAGCTGCTCATTCTCAGCAGGTTGTATGGGGTAAAAATGTCCAATATCAACTTCCTTAACCGTACTCTTTCCCTCAGCGACCTCATAGCACTGCTCAATCAACCGTTTTCCCACACCCTTGAACTCATCCTGGTTACCCAAAATATGGTACGAGGGAATAGCAATCTTGCTCTCTAGCAGTTCCTTCTTCTCATCCTCGGAAAGTTTGGAAGTACTTAGCGCAGCAGACACGGATTGCGCAATAAACGGCGGCGGGGCACTGCCACAAATGGTGATACCAAAGCCCCAGTCGCACCAGTCTAACTCATCGACATCTTCGCCGTTCTTCTTTAGGGCCGCGACAATTTCAGCGCATTTGAGGAGGCCGGTGAGGACGCGGGTACCTTGGGAGAAGCCGATTAGGCCGACGACTTCGCCACCGGAGTCGCGGATGCGCTTTACAGTGCTGCGGACGAGCTCTTCAACTTCTGAGGGCATGATGGAGATGTGAGGGCCATCTTTAAGTTCTTTGGCCGTGTCGGGGGCGGAGAGCCAGCGTTTGTAAGGGCCGCAGCCGTCGAAGAACGGGAGGACGCCTGGACCGGCTTGGGAGGGAAAGGGGGCTGGTGAGAGTGAGTTTTTGAGTTTCTTGTATATTCGAATTTGGGGGAGAGAATCTTATATAGGCGTATGCGTTTGAAGGAAGTACCGCATGCTGCAGATATGGGGATAGGAGTTGGAAGGAATAACCATGACAGGGAATGACTGTAAGAATGGGGGATTTGGAAGTGCAAAATGCATACCGCTCAGACTTTCAATCTCAAATTCCGAACCAAGCACTCTTGTTAATCTCGCCAATTGTACAGTATGTATCATGGAATTGCTGCCTGAGCCATGGAAGGCAAGAATCTTGGGCTTCGGGTCCATCTTTTCTGCTCAGCGTCTAGTGGTGTTTTGCTTATGATTTGCTCAGCACGTCGGTTTCTTTTACTTTCAAACACCCTGTTTCCTTGGACTTGATCTTCCTTCTCTTTGTATATAAATTGCAATCAGCCCTACCCTTTTGCGCAGACCTGTTGACTCTGATGTAGTGCGAATTCAGCCCCCAAAGTTGTAATGCGGGGTTAGAATTACTGATAAACAGCAGTCGTTGGAGATGGAAACTGCGTGATGAGTCTTCGTTAGACAGTTGTTCTTTACGCTAACTTTTCCACCTTAAACTCTTCTTTCGACTCTTCTTTCTTTTGAACCCCTGAAGCTGTGTCTTCGATGCACACAAGGCGAGAAGAAGAATGTCCCCAACAAACTCCTCGACACACTTCACCAATACTTGCGGTGTGAGTTGTCTTTTGTCCAGGTGCAGACAGCCAGCAAAAAAGCAAACTCAAGTGCCGGCCCAAGCAAGCCTCCCGTAATCGGACCGCAAATCGGTTTTCTTGTTGAGCCACGCAGTACGGACGCAAAGGTGCAGGTAATCGAGTTGAAGGTATTCTAGGGAGGGGACTTTGCCTTTGTGTAACACAAGAAATAAGTAGGAATGGTTTTTCCCTTGCGCGTGGGTGCTGCACCTCACCTTGTTTGTCGAGGCTGAAGATGCGTGTTATGGTGGGGTAGGTGGGAAGGTGGGTAGCTGGCATATCTACCAGGTTAGTTAATAAGCCAGCTGCATGCCGCACAAGGCGAGAGCGCCTATTTCAACCAAGCGAGCATACTATAATCAGGTCTGCATCAGCTCTATCTCGATAACACGATACATAATTATGGTATATATACCCTATAATGATACGCGCCTTCTATATGTAGTTCAAGGGAATCATCATTGTGAACGTGCACATGGCGTGCTAAAAGAAATACGTGACGGGAAAGGAAAGGAACCCCATACCCATATCTACGCCAAAGAGACCAAAAGGAAACCCCCACAGAAACCTAGAAACGGGTAGTCCCCGCCCGTACCAGCGTGCTTGACGACTCACTCGAATTCTTACTCCTCCTTCCGCTCTTCGCACTTCTCCCTGAACTCGCAGAGTCTGCCCTCACTCTGGAATTTTGTTCTTGTTCTTTGATTGACCTCAAGATCTTGATTCCCTCCTCAGTCTTGCCCAGCCGAGAAACTATAGCAGTGTTCTCGTGCTGTAGTTCGCCAATGTGCAGCTTAAGCAGTCTGTTTTCCTGCTCCAAGATATCCAGTCGTTGTTTGTACTCGTCACGCTCTCGCTGGATCTTGCTGAGTTGGTTCTTAGCCGCTTCTTTCTGTTGGCGCGCAAGCAGTTTACGAGTCTCTTTCTCTCGACGCTCCTCGAGTTTCCGTATCTCTTTCTGATACTTCTTTTCTTGCTTTATCTTCTCTCTTTCATGCTTCTCGTTTGCCTTTTGTATTTCCTTCTCCGTTTTGGAACTCTCGGTTTGCAAGTTGGTGTCCAGTTTTTCCTGGGCTTGTTCCAGCTTTATTCTCAGTTGATCCTTTTTTTCTTCGATCTTCTGGAGTTCTTTGGTGTGGTGGTCGTCTGCTATCGGTAAGGACTGTTGAGATGCTGTGGACGGCGTTGGAATTGATGTATCGATCGGAAGGCCTTCACGTGCAGTATTAAACTGCTCGGCAGAGGCAAAAGAATCTGCTGAGGAGGTGCTAGATGAGCTTGCAGAATCACTGCGCTGTAACTCCAAGTGGCTACTCTGGTACGTGGGTTTTTCCGCTATGCTAACTCCAACGCCAGCAGAAATACCATTTGTATCTGCCACAGACATGCTGCGCATAACTTCGTGAAGACTTCCTGTCTCAACTTTTACTTCTGATTCATCATTCCTCGCGCAGGCCCAGTCGAGAAACTTGACTGCGTCCTGACATATACTACTGGGCACATTTCGTTCCACCATGAAGCGAGGTATGCCACCCCCAGGATCACTACGTGTAATCATGATCCATTCAACTGGATTAGTCTCTGCGTCGCCGTCTGGTAATGGTATCTCGCGGATCATCTCAACCGACTCGTAGAAACCCCGTACCATGTTACTTCGTGGCGGCGCATCCGGGTGGGAGACAGGTATAGAGACAACCATGAAATGCCGGGGTACCGTATTCGCGACTTTTGAGGCCTCGGTCAGACAGCTATCTGAGGTGATGAGGAGGGTAATGAACTCGCGCGGTGAGGTTGGTCCTGGGAACTGAGCTGAAAGTTGGTATACTGCAACGTTGTCAGCTCTCTGCTATTCTTGGACAGTATGCCACACTGCATACCTTGTAGCTGTCCTACACCATCTACAGTCATGTCCTCGAGTCTCTGATCTCCTCCAATACCTCGCACGTTTCCCTCGCCCGGACCGCCTTGAACCTTCAAACTTTCTTCAAACTCGCTCTGCATGGCACGCTTCCATTTATTGAAGCCTAGACCTTCGTGTACACTAGTCCTCGAGAACCAAGCTCCATGCCTATCCTTCCCGGCCATCTTAAAAACGCTCATCCCCGTAGCGGCATCGGCATTTCCCAGCCTGAGAGGCTTGCCCCATGAGTTTTGCAGCTCTTCATGCATTGGAGCTGGTGGCGGTCGCCGTACTTGGGAAATGGTGAGGTCCTTAGCGCTCGTTGCAGGTTGTTGCTCGGTCCGCGTCCGTTGTGATAATTCGTAAGGCGTGCCATTGGGAGGTGGAGGTACAGAGTTTGCAATCAGCTCTGCTTTAGCTAGTATATCGGATAAGAATTCCTCGAGATTATCAGTTGGGACGTCACTGAAATCTTTTGGTCGCAGGCAAGCGAGCGCTTCATGCAATTCCGTCATGATGAATACGATTAGAACTTGTTGGTGGGTGATTGAAGTCCGGAGATGTTGCAGAGAGGACGGACGAAGCAAAAAGTCACGGAACACTTAAGCTTTTGGCAACCGCGCCCTGATAACGGCGAGATTTGCGGACTGTGGAAGTTCCGATGTAGCCGTGGAGCAAACTGACTGGGTCCGGTGACGGCCAATGAAGTCACTACGACACGGGAACGAATGTCGAGTGCTATCCACCTGAGTCTCGCTAAGCGTCTAAAGCATACACGAATAAATTAGAAGAGTAGTTGGTTGAATCCCAAGAACTCCGGCGTACACGAAAAGGTACGGCGCGCTCGCACTATACGTGTTGTTGATTCGACGTCATCCCTGCTACTGTGCGTTGGTTCGCCGTGGGCAAGGTTGTGGGGTCGCCCGCAACTCCGCCGATATCCCCTCCAACCTCGGAATCACACTTGGTCCGAAGCCGCTACCTACGTCACACCATACACTCTTTTGGGGAAACTTGCGAGATGATCTGGCTCGCCCTGTGCACAGTCGCACAACGCATACACCGGTTCTATGGCACTTTGAACGAGACGCACAAACGAAGCTGATGGCTTATCCTGTAGCTCGAACCAAAAATCACCAGATGATAATTAAGAAGGGTATTCGCAAGTCTATCCCGTCTATGCTAATGCAACCGCCAATTCAACCTATAATACACAAGCAGCAGAGTGTCTAGGACACTTCTATCCCATGAGACTATACAAGCACGTACAGTGCACACATCTGTCTGTAGTTAGCAACCTACCACCGTTCGGCCGAGATGAATCAGCTTACCATACTAAGTCCCAGGATCATGCTGCACCAGAACAAGACATTGTTCAGCAATGTGCGACCCTTGACCCATTTGCTTCGCTGCAACATGACGATGGGCATCTGAAGCATCATGGCAACAAAACCGTAGCCTCTGAACTTTCTCGTGATGCAGCCCATGACCAGTTCGTGGGCCAGTGCGGAGATGAGAAAGGTGATTACTATAGCCAATGGCCGCGACATGTGGTTCTTAGACGCACTGTAAACGTGTCGACGAAGAAACTGATGCACCGGAATGTTCCACTCGGCACTGTTTGAGTAGGTTAGATGCTGCTTTGGAAGAAAGATGTAACAATCCGTACCTAAACTCGAGCCAGTCACAGCTGTTCCACCAGTCAGCATAGAATTGACGATCGGCGAAGCCTGTGCAATGTAAGCGCGGGTATGTTCTTGTGATTTTGAGAAGACCTACGTGTGATTTCTGCAAATGCACCAAGAATGTACTCGAAGATGACTAGGAATACCAAGAGGAAGGTGATCATAAAGGGGAACAACAGACGACCAATCGTCTCACCCATGATCAATGCAAAGTCGGTTGCGCTGTTCGAGTTGTGGAGTCGCACAGCCGATACGTCCAGCACTGGAAGTATAAACTCCTCCGCAGTAATAACCATGAGAAAGATGCATCCGAACACAGCCAATGTCTTGTAGAAAACCTCAAGCCAACGAACATGAGTGTTGCGGGGATACTCGAGCTCATAGCAGAGCGTTGGACAGAAGATGAAATCTACATAGTTGTACAATGTGAGGTTATTCGGGTACGAGACATTACCCAAAGGCGACGCAAGCTCCAAGGCAAGCTCCTCGCGCAAGTGACCAAGGTACTCTGCGTTTGGGTCTTTGGGTTCCGACTCAGTCTGAGACGGTGACTTTGGAATCTCGTGTAGATGAGTACGAGGGGACGGGTATCGAACTGCTGCCACTTTGCTAGCTTGATCAGGTGTGTCGAGATCGTTCAGGCGTCTCAGAGTTTCGCTGAGATGACCGTTGTAGAATCTTTAAAGGTCAGTTTGAGCCGTCATTAGTAGTTTCGTGGATAGCGTACGCGTAGGAGTGCATTTTCATGAATATTGCAAGTAGATGTAGGGTGAAGAAGACCTGGGCCGTCCAGCTCCAATCGCGGACGAATGGATATCTTCATAATCGTTAGTCTATAGTACATCGTCAGAAAATAGATGGCTTACGTAGTCCAGAAAGCAAGCCAGATGGCCTGTAGGACGCTCTGTATGGCCATACCATACGTGTTCCAGCGAAGCACTTTGTCTTTGAGGAACAGCTTTTGGAGAGGCAGTGACAAAGCCGTACTGCACACCATGGCACCATCAACCAGGCCAAGCTCAACCACCTTTTCCTTGAACAGCGCCCACTGTCTCATCTGAAACGGATATCCAGTCTCTGTCATATTTCGGAGCATCGAGGTGATGACCATGATGGCAAGGCCAATCCAGAACAGGACGAAGAAGCCGCGGAAGTCATGGTGGTCGCTGTTGGGATCAAAGTGCGAGACGCGATTCTGGTAGTGGATGGTGGGGAATATGCGCTGCTTGTGCTGAGCGCGTATCTGCCGGCGCGCAGAGGACGAGGCCTGGACGGAAGGCGGGGCATCGGGGGGTATAGGGGTTGATCTTCCACTGCGTAGTGTTAGTTATGCTGCGCAAAAAAAAAGCAACCCGGTCGTAGGTACCTCGAGAGACCAGAGGCAGCTTCCTTCAGAGTGCCGTTTTTGTTAAGGCCTTCGTCGCTAAGTTTAGGCTTCAGGAGGTCGATTCTCGTAGGTTTGCGCGGTCGCGGGGAATGGAAGTCAGGGTCCCCATTGTGGTTGTACGTGTCAATAGAGGTGGATTCAGCCATCATGAGCAAAGAGTATGCGCATGTCGAGGATGTAAGTAATGATGCAAAGGGGGATTGAAACGTGGACAGGCCAGAGTATGATCAGCAACCCACACGGCGACTGGTTCTCGGACCTTATGTGTAGTGGATAATATTGTAGCCAGGCAAGCCTTCCGAACATCCGCGCAGCATGACAAAAACAGGAATCGAGTAGTATGAGGATGGGATCACCACGTGGAGAAGTCTGCCTGGGGGTTGCTTGCGCGCACCCATTCTATCGCGGCGACGGTGCTCTAACATTCGTTAGCTGTCAGGGCCGGTTACATCACAGGTCAGACGCGCTTGCCACCACGGGCAGTGCAGCGGGAATCAAGGGCTTTTGCCCAGCCAACTAGGGCTATCATCATCCGCCCCATAGTCCGTAGCACTCCTCATAGCCAAAAAAAAGACCGTGATTTGATTCGGCATGCGTGATGAATGGCCTAAGACAGAATGCGATAACTGTGTGTAGGCGTCTGCGTAGCTGGAACACGCTGGGTGCCTGACTCGCGCGACAGGCCTCCATCGCCCCCAGCCATATTATGTATGGACGTGTACAATGGCGGAGACGCCCTGGGCTTGTTCAAGTGAGATTGGAGAGGATGCGCTGGACTGATAGCAAGTTGAGGCATCTAGCAAAAGCATCAAGGAGAGATGGTAGCAACCAGCAGTGTTCAAGTGGTTTGGCTTGCCAGCAGCGGTAGCGTGGGCGTTGCCCTCGTTGTCGGTGGGAGGTGCGTCTGCGTCCGACATCTGGAACAAATAACGGCCCGGCCAGGTGGAAGCCGTCTCCCCAAACGTTGTCGACAACCAAGCCCTCCAAAAGGAATACCTCGAGTTGCCCGTGCCCGATTGATCCTGTCGAACACACAGCAGCCCTCCGTCCTTCACTCCCGCCTCTCAATCGAACCCTTGAACGCTGCTTGGGTGGGGTCCAAGAGGCCACTGCAATGGCTTCCTGTACGCCAAGCATCGCACCGCCCGCAGCTATGGACTTGTGCTAAGAATTACCAGTGAAGCAGTTTATTCGCAATGTGCGCGCTGCAAAGACGATTGCTGATGAGCGTGCCGTTGTCCAGAAAGAGAGTGCAGCAATCCGCGCCAGCTTCAGGGAGGAAAGCCACGATTCCAATGTGCGGAGGAACAATGTCGCAAAGCTCCTCTACCTCTTCACACTCGGCGAGAGGACCCATTTTGGTCAGATTGAATGCTTGAAGCTGCTGGCCTCTCCCCGCTTTGCGGACAAGCGACTGGGGTACCTGGGCACCATGTTGCTCCTGGATGAGAACCAGGAGGTCTTGACCCTGGTCACCAACTCGCTCAAGAAGTATGCCCTCCTCCATCGAGCCTGAAGCCATATTGTGTGTGCTAATTGAATTGCAGCGACTTGAACCATGCTAATCAGTACATTGTTGGCCTCGCTCTTTGCACCCTTGGAAACATTGCATCAGTTGAAATGGCTCGAGACCTGTTCCCAGAAGTCGAAACGATAATATCAAGCGCGAATCCGTACATACGTCGCAAAGCCGCAATCTGCGCAATGAGGATATGTCGAAAAGTGCCTGACCTGCAGGAACATTTCTTGGAAAAGGCTAAGTTGCTGCTACAAGACCGCAACCATGGAGTCCTTCTGTGTGGTGTCACTTTGGTAGAGAATCTGTGCCAAGCAGACGAGGATGAGGACGACGAGAATGGCGTACGGGACCTCTTTAGGCCGGCCGTACCCAGCTTGGTCAAGATATTGAAGGGCCTATCGTCTTCCGGCTACGCTCCCGAGCACGATGTAACGGGCATCACCGATCCCTTCTTGCAGTGCAAGCTACTACAGCTTTTGCGTGTCCTAGCTCGCGGCGATGCCCAGGTCAGCGAACAAATAAACGATATCCTCGCCCAGGTTGCAACCAACACCGACTCGTCCAAGAACGTTGGTAATTCGATTCTCTACGAAGCTGTCCTTACTATCCTCGACATTGAGGCGGATTCCGGACTTCGTGTGCTTGGTGTAAACATTCTGGGAAAGTTCTTGTCTAACCGGGATAACAACATCAGATATGTCGCTCTCAACACCTTGATCAAGGTGGTTGCAGTCGAACCCAACGCTGTACAGCGACACAGAAACACCATCCTTGACTGTCTCCGAGATCCAGATATCAGTATTCGAAGGAGAGCACTTGATCTCAGCTTTACTTTGATCAACGAGAGCAACGTACGGGTACTTATACGGGAGCTGTTGGCTTTCCTAGAAGTCGCCGACAACGAGTTCAAGCCGGTCATGACCTCACAGATTGGTATCGCTGCGGATCGCTTTGCACCAAATAAGAGATGGCATGTTGATACGATGCTACGCGTCTTAAAACTGGTCAGTGACTGAAGCCTTGGTTCATGGTTTTTTCTCGCTAATATGGGATACAGGCTGGCAACTATGTTAAAGAGCAGATTTTGTCGTCCTTTGTCCGACTAATTGCTACCACACCCGATCTCCAGACCTACTCAGTACAGAAACTCTACTCTGCGCTCAAGGAAGACATCACACAAGAGGGCCTTACCTTGGCTGGCTCTTGGGTGATTGGAGAATACGGCGATGC